ATGCGTGCAGTATGGGTAATTTATGTTCACTCAATATTCATTTTTATAAATATACACATATGTAATTGCACGGTTTCTTGTCAATATCGGGTTCTACCTTGTCGTAGTGGAGGGGCTTAAGTACTAGGGTGGATCGAAAAATTTCAAAGTTATATTTTCGATTTGCTATACCGCGGAAAAGTTGCCTTACCCAGATAGCAAAATGTCTGCATTATGTCAACATAACGCATTTACTGCTTATAGACGTGTCGGCATATTTGCAACAATTGAGTCGGCATATGAAGTGTACGTGAACAGCATGGTTTGCCTGACACATTGTGACACAACTTGCCGTCACAAGATCGACAAGCCTTGCCGGATTTATGTATGGTACACCGTTCCGCTCTATGAATTTGCACTCTCAGTATAACATCTTTGTTGTTAATATGTCGAGTTGATTATCCGTCACTAATACGAATAGTTGTGCCGACATCAATTTTGATAATTTTGATGCAATGTTCTTCGTCAAAACTTTAATTTTAGTAACAATTTAAAATAATATTAACGAAACAATGTTAATGTATACACGAACAAATTACATTAGTAAAATCATGGTTTTTAAATATAGAAATTTTTATATGCAACACGTGTTGCACTAAATACGGCATTGGAACGGCAAATAAATTCGACAAGGCTTGCCACTTCTATGCTTCAGCACGTTTGGCTATCTGGGTAATTTATTGTATTTGTTACGGCCCGGTAACCCGTTTTTAGAAATAAGTAACGAGAACAAGCGTTATCGCAATATGTAAACGGTTACGCGAGCAGCTTGTTCTAAATCGGGTTACCGGGCCATAACAAATACGATAAAAATAGATGAAAGTAGTATTTTTACGTAAAAGTCATTTAAATTTTCATACAAAATTACAGAAAAAAGTCTGTAATTTTCCATGTGGGTAGTAATATTGCATGATTATGCTAGGTCGGAAAAGAACCCAACATAATCATGTAATTTCACACAAATATTTTTTTCAGTGCATATCATGTATATTACATATTTGTTTAAGATCGCGTAATTAAATCTTCAAAAATGTTCAAGTAAATCAATTGAGTATTGTATCAACACTTGAAAAATTTGCATAAATTTATTGCGAATTATATCGCTAATTAATAATAATTTAATTTATTTAAAATTTATCGGAATATTATACTTCGATTTCTAAATTATCGAGTTATTGTCCTTGTGCATTCTCAATTCTTATCCACGTCGCGCGTCTATCACGTACGTTCACTTGAACAATATTTAATATGGATACATTTTAAATAAATAATGAAACAGTTCTCATTGAATTATGTGTGTCTATAGAATTTTTTATCGACTACACAATTTAATAAATATTTAAAAAATGAGTAAGATCTGTCAAGGCTGAAGCAAAAGTGACAAAATCAGTAGATGGATATGACATTGACGCGAGTAATTAGTCAATTGTTAAAACGAATGCAAAACTTATTTCTCGTTTCATGGTAAGAATATATTATGCGCATAATGTGTACATAAAAAAGGAGGACAGTTTCGTTACGATCCTCAGCTTACATAACAATTAGTCAGGTAGTAATCAAACGTGTCTAAGATTAAAAACAATATAATTGTAACAATTAAAAAGAAAACTTTAACATGCATAGACAGTTTATACTAAATTTAAATTATTAAATGATTTCGTACTTTAAATTTAAATATTTCATCTAAAATTTTTGCCAATATAAAATATTACATTACACTGTGTATGGTAATATGCAGAATTTATTAATATATGATTATACACGCGCATGACAATAATCTACTGATAATACAGTGAGATATGATTTTGCAACATTTTGCAATTTATAAAATTAGATACTTAATTATGAGTAGGCTCCAATCAAAAAATAATAAATTGAATATGTTATGTGAGCCGTCACCTGATCGACAGTGATAAATCAAGAAAAATAACGATCTTTGTAGACATGTATATTATAAAGAAACATATATTGGATATGAACGTTTCATATCAATCAATCGCATATGACCCTCTTCAACAATAACAAATAAGTGAAAACAAGTTATATAACGCATTTTTACAAAGTGATGAGTCAATTTTGCGCTGTCTTTATGTGTAAAAGTAATAAGGGTCAAGCTACGCTTACACTTGGCGCGAAACACCGTGCCTCGTGATAAGATAAAGTAAAAACCTATAATGTCGGTGTGTTAAAAGGTACGCATGTGGGATGATTGACTCGCGATCTCGATCTCGGGACAAAATTAATTTTATTTTCAGAATTAATTAATAATATATCATAAATTAATGATACAAGATAAGCGATTCTTATCTCGTTAGAAGCGCTGAAATCTTAACTTTCCAACGAGACCAAGATCATCTTTCTACGATTTTTCTGTGCGAAGATATTGACAATATATCTGTACAATACAAATTTCACTTAGATATGAAATAGTAAAAATTAAAATTGTCCGAATCGCGAAACTATAATAATAGCTGAAAAATAAGATAAAATTGCATATTAATTTATTAAGTCGCGTTATTTCTATTCGAGAATAATAGCTGAAAAATAAGTTAAACTTACTTATTAATTTACAAGGTCGCGTTTTTTCTTTTCGAGAATTTGGCAATATACTGAATTTAATGAATTATTTATTATTTTATTTATCTTTTACGGAAAAGCTGCAAGCTGATTGGCCATACATTTCTCGGAACTAGAACTTGGACACGAGTCTTGGATCGAGGAGACATAAGTTGACTCTACATTAGTCGCATCGTAGCGTTAAAAGGGTCGTGGACTGGTTCTAATTCAACGCTGATTGGTCGAATCTATGATTTGCGACGCTTGCGACGCTACAATACGATCAACGTAGAACCGGCCTAAGGCTGGTAATTACCGGAATTACTTCGAGGCTTCGAAAGTTCGAATGTCAAAGCCTTTGAAGGAAATCACCAGTCCTAGTGCACAGTACGGCAGTACGTGTTCTTTCACAGGATTTGGAGTAAACGCAGGGTATTCCGAGGTCTATATTTCGATACTCTCCGACTCGGGATCTCTCGTAATTTTGCCCATTTTTATGCACGTTTTAACAATGAACAGTTCTCCCCGTTAAATGTCTATAAAACATTTTTTAATCGTACCGCTTATGTAGGTCTTTCTTGAGAGTCAATAGTTAAATAAATTTATTTTACAATGGTCCGCAGCCCGTACTGTACACGTGTTCGTATGGATGACCGGCAAAAGACATAATATAGAATATATTCGCGGTTTTTGCAGTTACATTTTGACTCAACAGTCTATTAAAAAACTCTAGAACGTCGTTATCTAGAACGATAACATTACATCGCTTTTAAGGAGAACAAAATAACCAAAGCAATAAGTTAGGTAAATAATAGGTATTTATATGTCGACAAGGTTGGGTAACATTTGAAATGGTTCCATTTTAAATGTGTATTATTATAGAAATTGTATTTTACTTATATGTATGTAATAATATCCTTGGTCACACACACACACACACATTGAAATATAGACTGATGGCTAATAAATCTATTAATTTTAATTATGTATACAAATATATTTATATAACTAATAACTATTTTATGTAAAAATTTCATTTCAGCTCTTTGCTTTGTAATGTTTTTATAAATTCGTTTCATTCTATTTTCTTGTATATATTTGTATTGATAAATATAAGAATCGCCTTATACATAAGAACCACAGAATGGTATCTTCGAGCAACATGTGTGAATTTGTATTAAATTTTCTTTATGTACAAATATATAAACTGAAATTTTAGTAATACATTAGATGTACATAAAATAGAGTTTTTAATACATTAGATGCATACAAAATTGAGTTTTGCACACTTTTCAATATCACTTTTATTTAATATGTACGATGCGCCTATCTCATTTTATAATACTACTACTCACTTTCTATTACTATTATTAATTATACTGCTGTTACTACATAGAATAAGTTTATTTATACAAAAGTTATATTTTTTATTAATTTCAAATTTTATAAGTAAAAATTATTTACGTAATTCCAGAAAGTGTTACAAGTCAAAATTATTTACGAGCTGATCGAGCTGAACCCCTTGTTGGAGTTTCCCGTACTGGTTTATTGGTTTTCAGTCGTTTGACTGACGGTGATGCGTTGCTATCATTTGCCGCAATTGTGTCCTCTTTCGTATGTTCTCTTCTTTTGGCTACATGAAAATCAAATGAATTGGTGTTGTTCATTATGTGATTTCTATTATTTTATAACGCACACGCAAGTACGCATACACGCACGCACGCGCTCAATGCACAATTCAATTATGGGGCAACTAGACGAGGCCCTAACTTGGACTGTAGTGCTATTATATAGAATATTGTATGTTTATATAGAGGAGTCCCCTATTATAAAATAGGTTTCTAATATAAGATAACAGGGTTTCTGGTAGATTAATAGGCATCATTTGGTTCACCTATGAATTTTTATTGCCCTTGGAGTGAAATCTGTTTAGTTGAAAATTTATTTGCTAGACATGCATGTCATCGTTGCGGAAAAAGATTTGTGAAATTGGATAATGAAAACTCGCTATCTCATATTAGAAACCTATCTCATAATAGGCGACTTTCCTCTAATTATACACGAATGTGTGAATACTTAAAGACATTAACGAGATTGATTTCAAACTTACGTTTTTGAACGGGAACACTGTCTACGTCTTCCTCAGAGTCATCGGAACTATCTTCCTCTTCCTCTTCCTCTTCCTCTTCATCGCTCATGTTTTTACGTCTTCTTCGATGAGTACTTCTTTTGTTCCTCGGCACGGCAGACGGTGGTGGCATTAGATGTCTATCTGTTATTTCGTCATCCCCTTTGGCCTCCAGAAGTTCCTGTATCTTCTCTTCCAATTCTATACAAACGGCCTTTGCATCTGCCTTTTTCTTCGTCTGTTCTATTATACTATGCAAGGCCGTTAATACTGGTTCATAATGAATTTTTTCTTTCAACAGTGGCAAACTCTCGATAAGATGTTGTATACCTTTAACAAAGTTAAAATAAGATGATTTTTTTTCTTTTATCAATTATCTCATTAAACATAAATTATTTTACTTACTCTTTCCGCTGAATTGCAAAAGCGAAAGACAGTAGGAAAGATCACGCCACTGTCTCTCTGTGGCAGCTAACTTAAATCTAGCGCAAATCTTATCAATTATTGTATCGATTTGCTTTTCTTTCTGCATTAGGCCGAGAATGTATCTGCAAATTATAACAACGTTTATATTTCCTGCTGTTTGGATACAGTTAAAAAATAACGGTTATCAATACCTACTTTATGGTTTCTTGAAAATGTTTTTCATCGAGATTTAACTGAGGATCCGCTAAGCGCGATAATATGTCAGGTACTATGTTATATAGAGCGTTGCCTTTTTGAGCAAGCTGAACGAAGAATTCTTTCGTGTCCCGACGTATCTGTTCGTCCTCATCGATGACACAAAGGGCTAATTCCGAAACCTGTCCCTTTACGCGTATCATTTCTCTCATTATCAGATTCGACAACATACGAACACACGTCCTCCGCACGTTCATATCTTCATCTCGTAGTCTATAAAGATAAATATTAAATATCGTGATTCTATATGCGTGTTTCCTAATTTTGAATTCCTTTTTTGTACGAAATAAGACAAAACATTATATAAACCAAAAATGGCAAAAATTTCTAGTACCAAGTATTTCTAAAAATATTATAATATATAATTATTGATTTATTTAACTAAAATTTTAATCCTTAAAAAATTGATGTACAACAGTCAATTTACCTGCCATAGATGTGCTTGGACCACGGTTCTACTTGGTTGGGGAATCTGGTAGCGAGATCGCTTAATCCAATCAGCATACTCGATCGAATCCCCGGATATGACGATCGCTCCAATATGGTGATTAAAAGTTGCAAGGACTGTTCGCAAAACTGGGAGCTCACCGTCATCATTTTGCTGAGCGCGACTGAACCTGCGGCTTGCACGTCCTCGTTGTTATACTTGTCAGGATATTGGCATACATCCAACACTAATGGACTGTAAATAATTGCATATACATTAATCGCAGTGTCTAATAGCTGAGTATATATATCTTCAATTCCCAATATTCAAATACATACACAAATTTCGCGAGCAAGCCATCCCCAGTGACAATTTCGTTTTCGAGTTCGCCGTTCACAAACTCCGCCTCAGCGTCGTCTATCGCACCTTCTAAGGCTTCTTCTCCGTCCTCCGTCATTGTCATTGAGGAATCTTTTCGAGAGACTCGTCGCACGTTTGACGTGTTTGCTGATTTGTTGTTGTTAGTTCTAATGTTTGGCGTCGCACTTTTCGGTAATCGTTTCTTTTTCTTACCCTGCATCTCTCGTAACGTGTTCCTACGCTTCTGTTCCTTGTACACAGACACGTCCAGGTAAACTAACTGTTTGATAGCAACGTGTCCGATTATGTAAAGGAATCTGGAGAGTACGTTGTTCGACACATCCAGCACTTGATTCGTGTCTTTATTTATAAACTGACCCTTATCAGCAATGTCCAATAGCAATTTCTTTATCAACTTGTTAGGTTGATTCGCTAACTGTAATTAAAGTAAAATTCCCTCGATGTAATATTCCAAGTGTATTTAACAAATACGCAATAATCTCACTTACGTGATATATAACATTAAGCGCATCCGTCGCGAAGGAAATATAAGCAGTCTCCTCCGCTCTGGTAAAATAATCTATTAATAACGTCAGGATTTCTTCAAATATTTCGTGATCGTTAGGATACCTGTACGGAAAAATGTGCTTTTAATTAACAACCAAAAAGTTTCGAATTACTTTCATCGTTCCGACTTACTTTAGAGGCGATTTTTCGACGTCCTTGCTACTTTGTTTTATCTTCAACAACGTTCTGCAAGTATCTCGTGCTAAAAGAAGATCGTCCTTCGCGCGCGGACCAAATCCTATCTTTATTAACACGTCCAGATTATCAGATACTATGTTAGACTTCGCCTGAGCTATCATTGTTATTATCATTAACGCGGCTCTGCTATCTATTGGCGACGTGTCCGGATATTTCATGGAGAACTTTTCCCACAAGACCTACACATACAGCGTTCATTAGAGTATATTTTCTACGTGTTTAAAATTTAAGAAAACTATTTATAATCGCCGAATGAAATCAGTAGAGGAAAGTCCTCTATTACGAGATAAGCCTCTAATATAAGATAGCAAGTTTTCAACATCCAAATTCAATCACAAATCTTTTTTCGCGACAATTACACGATCTAACAATAAATTTTCTATTAAATAGATTTAACTCAAAGAGCAATAAATTCATAATGTAACAAAACAAAACGATGCTTATTAATTTAGCAGAAACCCTGCTATCTCATATCAGGAGCTTATCTTATAATAGGGGATTCCCTCTATGTTTAGTAACACGTGAGAAAGCGATCAACCTGTGGACAGGCTCGTTTTCGTCTTTACCCTACGTATGCCTCGATTTTTTACAAAGTTTGAGGAGTTTGAAGACAGTGGGTTAAAAAGCGCGAGACAAATGGGTTAACTATTTCAAATATTTGAATTAAATGTACTTGCCTGCAGTAATACGCTGTCTAAGTCTCCGTTTTCGTACCACATCACAATCAGTAGAGTTAGAGCCGGACTCTGTCCAGGTTTCAATTCCTTCAGGAACTCGATCAGACGATTCGTACGGGCAACGGCAATTTGGCGAGCTGATAATTTATCGTTACTCGTATTGAAGTAGATCTCCTTGTACACCGCAGCCACGTTGTTACGCACATTTGGATCGCGGTGGAACACTTGAAACAGAGCCTCGCGCATGGAGTCGGCCGCTCCGGTTACTCCGAATTGAAAAGCAGTTCCTAAGAATGTGCACGACTCGACAGCGTCCCCAGCACATGTGGAGAACAGTAGCTTTTCCGCCATTGGTATCGCTTTCTCCAGCTCGGTCGCAAACATCAGACAATTCTGCAGAAAAACAGTGTGTAACAACGACTAGTTCAAAAGCGACATTTTTAGGTAACGTACTTTCAAATAACTTATAACGCGCTTTCGCAATCTTAACTCCTCTCTTCCATTGTCTTGCTCGGATTTTCCCGCATCATTTTTATCTTCATTTGTCGGATCGGTATCTGATTTAGTCTCCGATTCTATAAAAATTTTTAGTAAAAAGACAAATAAACATTCCTCTTTTGCTGCATCAGAAAGATTTTCCATATCAGGAGCTCCCTCCAATTTTGTGCACGTTTTCCACAGGTATGTCACTGCTTCAGTGACTTTTCGGCTCAATAATAGTTGCCTCACACATTCGAACGCGTGATTTGGATCGATGTTCTCATCTTGTTCCATATCTACAAAGAAATTCCCGTGCTAGCAATATTGTAATATATTTTGCGGAATAATGAAACAGCGAATAATTCATTGACAAGAAAAAGTATACTATTTGTAACACGAACCATTTATATATTCCGCACCATTATTTTTCAGAATTTCCTTTATTGCTGCCCTTATATCGGCTTGTGAGAGAGTCCACAGCTCGAATCTTTGCGCGTGACCACGTTCACTAGTACTCACGATGTGAGCTTGCAATTCTTGCAAATTTGCCTTCTCCTTTTCCAGCGAGTTTGAAAGTTCGACGCAATTTAACTGCCAAGACACATAAGCCAAAGATGCTAAAGCAGTCACGAAAAATACGCTTAGTTTTCAAATTCTTACATACCTTGCCGGCAAAAGGATTACTTTGCAACAGAGTACGCAGCAACTGAAGAGCCTGTTTACGAACATTCGCGCTTTTATCTTCTAGTCGCAACGCGGTGCAGGCTAAAAGCTTCCCATGTCTCGCTAATGGCACAGCGCCTTCGCAGCACAAGTGCTGCCAAGTCTGAAGCACTTTCGACCTCACGTAAGCGTTGCAATCCAGCATGTGCTCTTCCAAACTATCCAAACAATCGTCGCGTAGTTCTTTCTGCTCGTCCGTGAGATCTTCGCCGGTCAGTGCCTTTTGCACCACAGCACCCAAGATTCCAATCACACAGTTTCTCATTGTATAGAACTGTTGAAAAAATTTCCAAGCACATTTGAATTAATTTCTAATTACCTAAAGTGTTGTGAGTCCAAGTATATTTTCTATTTTCTTGTATAAACAATCGAGTACGAGAATTACGATGAAAACATGCCTCATTAGACAAATAATCTGTGACGTCGTCCAGGAGGGGAATTATCAGATTGGGCTGCAAGATCGCGATATTCTCAAGAAACATGGATGTGTTGCGGTTATCCGCTTCGCTAACTTCCCTCTGCCCGATCTCATTCATCACCTCTTTTATTAAACCGCTGCAGCCGCATTCGATGGCCAAGTGTACTACGCCAGCCGCCATGGGTGCTGCCAGCGCATCGTACAATTTCACCAGCTGCAACATTGCAAATGTTTTATGTACTTGAAAAGTAAATAGTGCAAATAATTTATTCGGCATACCTGAACAATCCTCACAACGCAAGTTATCCCATGATTGTACTTTTTGATCAAAGTTCCTAGGATCTGTTTTGTAACGAAAAATATACGGCAAGTGAGCGGTAATATAATATTAGCATATATGCGAATGTAAACGACAATATACCTCAAATGTAGTTTGCCTCATATGTTTTTGTTTGGCATCCTTACTCTGTTCCAATATCTTATAACATATCTGCGCCAAAGTCCTGCAGGCGATACAGTTACGAGAGATTATTTCAGAATTGACTTAGTTAACTTAGTCAATTACTGCTGTATAACTTACGTGACAAACGAATTGTCGACCACAGGTGGTCTCCAAATCTTGTGCAATGGCAATTGCAGCCATCGATACAGAAGCTCCAATGTTTTAAGCCTAGACTGCTCCCATTCTTCCTCGATTTCCGTTTTTGTGACTTTTTTACGCTGCAAAGGCACACTTGCATCTTTACCCAAGTAACTTTGCAACGCGTAATAGTATAAACAAGCCTCGTACCTTTCCAATGTTACCCTCGTTTGCATTTTTCACATGTTCTTCCATATGACAGACAAACCACGAAAGTAGGTACACCAACATATTGTTAAGACACAGATATGTTTCCCTGTCTTCCTCTTCCGTAATATCCTTGCCATGATCGAATATCTTTTCCAGATCGTTCACGAGTACTGCCACAGCTGAAACAGTCACACATGTATGAGCCCATATAAAGCGAGTTCGCTTCAATTATATGATTATGGTCGCGGTCAAGCCGCCGCTATCTCCTTATATCTTTTCTGGAAAAAAGGAGAGGAAAAATACTTATAAACGTTTGAAGCGACAGCTTGACCCCAGCCTATATCTCATACCAAATAATGTCACCGTTTATACGTAATTCCAATTCCTCGCAAAGAATATTACCTTTGTGAATCCTGTTGAAGGCACGTAGGCAAATATTGAGCTCCACTTTACTCCCGTGAACAATGATGGAGAAAAATGTATCAAAGTGCTTCAGTACAAAGTGTGCTCCATCTGTCGCCAATGCTTGTCGCGTGACTACAATAGAATAACATAATTATAAAGAATTCTATTGCGTCTATTATTCATTTCACCAATTATTTATACACAATAATATATATATATATATATATATATATATCCATAACATAATGTAAACATCTTGAAATAAGTCTCATCACCATCGAGAGTCTGTGATATCATCCGTAGAGGGATAATCTCTTTGACGTAGTACTGATTGGCATAGGACGTCAAGAGCTCGTCTTTCACCAAGGGAATCACGAAGTTCTTCACCATTTTAATGTTTGAAAAGTGAACTATCTGTTAAGAAGTCAAGCACTGTCGGTGAGATTCTTCTACTAGATATCACTTCATAATGAACATCTACTCTAAAACTAATGATTCGTTAGGTACTCAAACAGATTAGACAAAAAAATGTTTCCTCTTTTCCTTCTTTCTAACAAATTTTCGACTTCGCAGGGATCGAATTCACTACAACTGTCACACAGCTAACCAACGACGGACATACTGGATAAACTCAACAATGATCATTTTCAAATGCAATGCTGCCAACTAGCTAAAAAGAAATGATAAAAATTTCTTAGGCTATGTTTCCACGAGTTTCCACTGAGCGCGTCACGCGTCGCGTCATGCGCGACGATCCAATGAGCGTGTAGTATCCAGCGCTTTACGCCCATTTTCATTTTTGAAACTATTCCGCTACACCCATTTTCAAGTACTGCCGATAAAGTCTCCACTTGGTGTGTGTCCGTGCTACGCCCATTTTTCAAGCGGGTAATGCAGTGCCCAATTTTGGTTGTATTCCGTGCTGCATGCATGAAATATCGGTAACAGGAGAGTGTTATTGATTTTTCGTAACGAGAGCGAGCGAGAAGGTATAAGAGCGAGCGAGACGGCAATAAGAGCGAGCAAGTCCGTTTTTAAAAGTACTGACCGTCTCTTCGTAACTCACTCTTTGAATATAAAATTCAAGCACATAAATATATTGTAGAAAAAAATTTTACTTTGTGTTATATGTATTTTAATTATATTTCGCGATGAAATTAAATAATAATTTCTTAAACATACATTAATAAAAAACTTTTCGCTCACCGATACAATGCGCAGCGGCGGAGTTGAATCTACGTTGATTCTGCAATGGCGCCCGATGCCTCCTCCTCCTCCACTCAGGTGTCCTCCTCTCAGGTGTCGTTGTCTCAGCTGTTCTCCAACACACTCGCGAATTTATACTTCCGTTTGTAAAGTCGCTTGTCACTCTCACTGTATCCAAATGCCACTTTTTCGGCTCTCACTGTGTCCGATTGTCACAGAGTCCGATTGTCACAGAGTCCGATTGTCAC